AAAAAAGGGATTGTCACTTGCCCATTAACGCTGTAAATTGATGCTACCTTCAGGTCCTACCTGTTATCCAGAGTCTCATGTGTACTATGCGCCGAATCGTTTACTTATCAGTGTAAAATTTGACCGAGAAAAAGTCGGAATAGTAAAAAAATAAATAAATTAAGTTGCCCGTGTCACAATTGCATAAAATCACAATTGCATAGAAATGAAGAATACACCTATTCCGGCCATCGGACCATCAATCGAATCATCAGTCTTCATGATTGATTTAACTGCTATTTCCATTTATATGGTTAGTTGTCAGAGACTAAATGTTGTCAAGTTCGAGAGCGTGTTTTTACTTTAGGCGACGTCAACTTTATCGATTACATCACAGTCCCTCAACACTGTGATTACACATGGAACTATAAACCATAGTTTCGTTATTCTTCCTGGGGTTTATAGTTCCATGGATTACATTATTTTATTTACTTATTGACTCTTACACAATCCCCGGAGGCAAAGAAAATGGTCACAAAGTACAAGGAGAAAAATATTTATAAAAACAAAACAGAAACACAATATACTAAATAACAAATACAATCACTAAATTACTAAATAATACAAAATCTCTAACATACTAACTAATATATTAATATTAAAGACGCATTGAAAAGGAAGTGCCATTGTAAAAATTCAGAGAGTAGAGGACTTTTTATACTGGAGACGTTCCAGTGCGGATCAAAATTCTTTATTTGAAAAGGACATGTTCTATATATTCACCAAAATAACAACGTTGCCATGTTTCTATGCATACAACGAACTTGAAACAAAAGAAATCGTTCGATCCAAACGACCTGCGTCCTTGGAAATCAAGTCTTATGGCCCTGGTGTTTCCGAGCGAAAATACCAGCGAAGATTCCCGGGGAACAACTATTAATGCTGTATTTCACTTTGATGTGGGAATAGGTGACAAAGGTCAAAACAAATTTAGGGGAATCCGAAAACGTAACTTACTGCACGTGAATTTCACGACGACGTTTTAAACGTTCCGGTTATCTCCGTGAGACAGTAGCTTTTGAAACAAAATTGAGGGACTCTAAAAACGCAATGTATGGCTCGACAATACCGCAATGTAATGCAAGTAATGCAATATCACGACGAATGTTTCGAATGTTCGCCCATTCTTTCATGTTTATTTGACGATATGAATGATTCAGCAGAGCGCTTAGATAGGTTATTTATTAGAGGCGCCCGGGTAATCGAAATTTAGCGTGAATGGCTTTCCGAGCGAAAAATGTTGGGGGTAAAAAAAAGAAACTATTTTCGCCCATTTATTCATTTTTGGGGTGATATATCATTGGTTCAGCCCAGCGGTAGTGTAGTTTAGCGGTAGTGTAGAGGCGCCCGAGAACTTTTGGGACGGCGAGCGCAATTTAATGCGAGTGAATTTCTCTACTAATTTCCCTAGTTGTATGCGGTGTCCAATATGGCGACCAAAGGCAAAAACAGTGTTATGCAAACTAGCTTTAGTTGAAAATTTGAGTTTTCTCGACAACAGGTACGTGCAATTGAACCAAAATGTTATCGGCAAGTAACAGCGACAGCCACTAAAACGTTATTGAAGGCAAATAAACACGTCAGGCAAAATAGACTGTTTCGAGTCGTGGCGTAAACTGGAGGCACATATCATGTTGACGCTTGAGGTGAATGGAAATCAGTTGATTTGAGGGTGTCACAATAAGCGAGGGAGCAAATCGTGTTTATGCTACGAAAAAATGCAGACCTTGAAACGTACTTTTTGGACTTTAGTACTACGTCATTTTTGTTTGATTACCTAAGGTTTTTAGGTTCATGTGATGCAAGTTACAGAGCACATACCAAAGCAGCTATCCCTCAGTAAATAATGAAGCAAAGGAATTTTAGATGTCGAAATCGCGAAATTCGTCCCTTTTACGCAAACTGGGAAGTTCGTATTACTAAACGAAGTACAGGACGACGAAGCTTAGATATCCAAGAACCAACACATACCAAAAATTTATCTCAAAAGTGAATATTCGTGGTGTATTTTATCTCTAACCGGACCGGAAGTGAGAATTTGTCAGTAATCTAAATATCCAAATATATTTTAGTATAAGGTAGTAATAACATTACATTAGTGGGCAAAGACTATAAATCATATCCATGCCCCTAGACATAGCTACATCCGATGTCATCATTTTGCCAATGCCATTCTTGCAATTTCATTATTGCTGGCTGCATAGATCAGACTATTAATGTACAAGTATTTACACATATCGACCTTATTTTGGTTTTAGATGCTATTTTATTGAGATGCATAGTGACAACGGTGGCCGTGAAGGACCGGTAGGTTATAGGTAATTGTTACTAGTCGCACCGTGCATGTGCACATCACACAAATCATATGAGTTCACAGGCCATAGGTCCAGTAAATCGCTTTCATCATTTATGTACGATGGAATATTTGCCGATTTATTTTTGGCCATTAGATTCCCTGATTCATGACATCATGTGCCAATAAATCCTGAAAATTGGCTTTGCTAAGCGATGAGTCGTTTAGTTCAAAACACTGAATGATCATAGCAGTCCTCAGTTATGCGTTTAGGAATGACCTGGTGATCCAAAATTGACCTCGCATGAAAATACTGCCGCCTACGGCGAGTCCCGGGATCATTGCGTCCAGGAGAATGCGTATCAAATATCTAATGCGCAATAAACAACTTCGTGAAAAATGAAATCAACATAGAACCCACCAGACTCGCAACACAGTAGCCTCGAAAATTAAATTGAGGCAACCAAAGTTGAGATATCCAAAATTACTACCAATAAAACCCAAACAAAACATGAATTCTGCCGAATGAGCAGCAATAAATAGACTACATCATTTAATACACAATTGTAATAAAACCATTCCACAAAGGTCGTGGCATTGCAATCATGAATACAACTGGCTATATATATGAAAGTCTTCGTCAACTAAACAACGAGCAATATTATACTAAAATTAGTGGTAACGATACCATAGTTACAACTAATTTGGTCCATGAACTCGTTACAGAAACGTACAATCTGGATTTAATCGATTACGACACGTATAAATATACAAGCCAATTTAACTACAAAGTTAGAACGCCCGGTGGTATCTACTGCCTAAAGTATATAAACCACCACCAGAGGGAAGTATATTTGTAGACCAATAATCAGTCAGTGGTTGCTCTGGTCCGACAGAGAAAATATCAGAATTAATTGACCACTTTTTAATTTTTGAGTTATCGCAGTCACCCGGGAAGTTGGTTGTTAACAACGCACCAGTAGCTGCGGTAGTGTATATCGTTGTTTTATTTCCGGTAAGCTTAGTATTTCGCTCGTCATCGAACTAATTTTAAATATTCACAGAGCGGCAGCTACGCATCTAGTGACAGCGATGCATCATAAGTGACCGCACAACAACGATTATTAAAGTTTCTGCATTACACAGCAGACATTCGATATTGGGAGTTATGGTTTTTAATGGTTGAACATGGTGTTACCTTGTTTTATATAAGACATACATGCATAATAATGCGAATATAAGTAACGCGTATCGAACTGTGAGGAGTTTCCTGTTTCACGGTCATATGACGCCTTAGTAGCCGATTTTGGCTAAAATTTCAGATATTTAAAACCATATTTAAATGGCCAGTTTTCAGAGACATGGCGCGTGATAATTTTGAATTTTCCATTCTTCGTGCTGTTCGTGAGATAAAAGCAGCACACTGTCAACAGTTTTTCAGAGATGTCGAATATCTAGACATGCAGTGAAACAACAACTATACGTGTTATTCATGTTTGTACGGTACGTAATGGACCCTGTGACGGTGATTGAGTGTAGAAAATATTAATAATATATACATGTTTTATCACTATACTAATATATTAGTGTTTAATTATTACAACTGACAGAAATCAAGTGACTGTTTAAAAAAAGTATCCGTGTTTGAAATGTGCTGGTAATCAGTGTACCGGGTGCGTCAGGGCCCAATTGTCGAGCTGCGTCGATTTTCGCTGTATTTGTTTAGGGCAACTTTGTGATAAATTTCGTTAACAGTTTCTTCGATGGAGGGCATTGATACAAAGTTTTATTTATCTATTAAACACGTCTTGCAACAACTATTCAATTTTTATATCAGCAGCGTTTGCGCGTACTGCTGACACAGTGGGGCAAATGTATTAGCGCACGCCCGGGAATTGAGTCCCAAGCGACGATAACAACACACGCTAAATAGCAAAGACGTAAACAATGACACGCTACGGCCATCTGACGCATGCGCAGGTGACGACTTTCCCGTTTTAAACCTTCCAGTATTTTTGTTAGTTGTGCTGCAATGCGACCAGCGATCTAAAAAATTACTACTATTATACTGTAGAATATAGCGATTGAACCAACGATGACTCATATATTTTGAAGTGCGCCCTCGCTCGACGATTCAATCCATGTAAACAGTTTTTTCGCGTTCCAGTCACGGTATGAACTAGAAATAACCCGCAACATCGTGTTCTTCGTGTGTAATCGATGTCAACAATTCAACTATTGGTTTCTTATAAATAACGTAATATCGATGACGATATGTCCCGACTACATCGTTTTATTGGAGAGATCGCGGAACGGATGACAGTAAATTGAGAGCAAGCGACTCGTTTACAATGTGCATAGAAATTAAGGATGCCCTCGGAAGGTCATCCATGGCATCCCATGACTCAGTCTGCCACGTTGCAGTGCACAATGACGTATTCCCTTAATTTTGCTCCCATACGTCATGGGTCAACACAATTGGGTCCCGGTATTTTCTCGCACGAGTTACAAAAATGTTGCACGCGCAGCAACTATAACCGGTCTGGAAATGACTGGATATCCAATCCGGGGCAAGCTGAGTCATTGGAGGAAGTTATCGGAGACGATGACATCATTGTTTACCAGAAAGTATATAAGCATGTGCATCGTTGCAAATATTTCCATACTTCCCTTGTGCAACGACGCCTTGAAGTCACGGCACACGAAGTTTAAACGTGCAATAATTTCAGTTCTTTTATTTTCGATCAACAAGTGACTCTGCTAAACTTAGGATGAGTGTAAGTATATTTTGTGTGTTGTTTACGTCTTCCGCGTGCAGCTACAACCGCCAGGGAAATATTATTGTGCGCGCATACTCAACTAGTAATTATAATTTATCGGTTTATTTATCATTGTCAATGGTCCCCGCTGTCAGTATCGTATACCATCCTCGGATACAGGCCATGACATGACGATATTAAATTTAGTATATTCCTCAGGCTGTACAGTGAATATTTACCATGATACATTTTGAATTCACAGCGTCAAGTCATTTCAGTTCATATTGGACAGGCCGGTGTGCAGGTCGGCAATGCATGCTGGGAGCTATATTGTCTGGAACACGGCATAGAACCCGACGGACAGACGCCAAGCGATAAAAATGTTGCCAACGGTCACGGTATTGGGGACTGCTTCTTCAGAGAAACGAGTGCTGGAAAATATGTCCCGCGGTCAATCTTTGTTGACCTTGAGCCAACAGTAATAGGTGAGTACAAAATGACATTATTAAATAATACAGTTGTTGGGTCAACAAATTTTGATGAGCATGTCGAGCCGCTTCAGATAGTACAAACCTTAAAATGTATAATTAGCATTGGGTTTTTAATTCACTAAAAAGCATACAAGATTTATGAATATGTTAAATAATATAAAACCTGAAAAATTAAATATATTTAGTGTAGAAAAGTTTTGGTTGGAATCGAGAAAACATTGGGTGATTTTCCGTTCACTGTGAGATTTAGCATAATACGCGAACGATGCCAAGTTTTGACATCACTACGGCGCCATGATCTTTGTTCTATTTTTACGCTTGATTTCACGCATAACGCGGGATCTCGCAGTTTTGTTATCTCCCACCTTTGACAGCGTTATTATACCAACTGTTCAACGTAAATATCAGTGCTTGTATTTTCGCTCCGTAGATGAAATCCGTACTGGTACGTATCGGCAACTCTTTCATCCAGAGCAAATGGTGTCTGGGAAAGAGGACGCAGCAAATAACTACGCCCGAGGTCATTGCACTGTTGGTAAAGATATTGCCGATTTGGTATTGGACAGAATCAGGAAACTTGTAAGTGGTATTTATATGTTGGTCACACGTTCGTCTTGAAGACACTATTTATGTTAGTGTGCAAAAAAAAATTTCTATACTTTTTACATATGTGAAATTTAATGCGGGTAGTCATCACCTGCGCATGCGTCAGATGGGCATAGCGTGTCATTGTTTACAAACAAGCATCTACCCATGAGCCTTTGCGTTTTTAGCGTGTGTTGTTATGATCGCTTAGGACTCAATTCCGCGCGTGCGCAGGTGACGACCCTCCCGCTTTAATGTTACAAGAATGGACAAATGAAATAACATTATGGGGTGACCTCAGTTCGGTGAAAATCATTGTACAAAAGGGAGTCAAATAAGATGTTCAATTGTTTACCATCATTTGCAAGGAACTCTCTCAACATTTTGTTCAGTGATATAGAGCGAACAAATTATGAATACTATTTTATAAGTTATTTGTTGATGCCAAGGACTATCACAACTTTTTTTACTGACGAGATGTGTTATGCGGTCTATGGAAATCGCTGCTACTATCACCTGCGCATGCGTCAGATGGCCATAGCGTGCCATTGTTTACAAGCAAGCGTCTACCCATGAGCCTTTGCATTTTAAGCGTGTGTTGTTATCGTCGCCTGGGACTCAACGACCCTCCCGCTTTAACATTTTTTTCTAAAAAAATAATGACTGTGAAAAAAATATATATTTTTCGAAAACTATTGCGCCATTTATGCATATTAGTGTCGGATCGGGATGTGTATTTTCATGATTCTTAAAGCGCGGTGGTCGTCGCGCAGCGCGTGTTCGAATTGTATGTAAATAAACAATGTATTTTACACGCGCTGTGTACGTCGCTATGCGTCCATATCGAACAGGACGCTGCGCGACGACCGCCACCCTTTAATCAGTTGATTCGAATATTGAAAATAATTGAATACCTGGTTTATTTACATTGCAGGCTGACCAGTGCAACGGTCTACAGGGTTTCCTTCTCTTCCATAGTTTCGGTGGTGGCACTGGTTCTGGTTTCACCTCCCTACTCGCAGAACGTCTGTCTATAGACTATGGTAAAAAGTCAAAACTGACATTTGCCATTTACCCCGCGCCGCTGATAGGGACCTCTGTCGTCGAACCGTACAACTCGGTGTTGACAACGTCATCATCCATGAATCACGTGGACTGTGCGTTCCTTATGGATAACGAGGCTCTGTATGAAATTTGTCGACGTAATTTAGACATTGAGCGTCCGACATACACAAACCTAAACAGGTTGATTGCCCAGGTTGTGTCGTCGACTACTGCTTCACTGAGGTTTGACGGCGCCCTCAACGTTGATTTGAATGAATTTCAGACAAACTTGGTACCGTACCCACGGATTCATTTTCCGTTGACAACATACGCGCCAATTATTTCTTCAGAGAAAGCTTATCACGAAAGTCTTAGCGTCGCTGAAATAACGAACGCCTGTTTTGAACCAGCAAATCAGATGGTCAAATGCGATCCGCGTCACGGCAAATACATGTCATGCTGTCTGCTTTTCCGAGGTGACGTGACTCCAAAAGACACTAACGCAGCCATAGCAAGCATTAAGACAAAACGGACGATCCACTTTGTCGACTGGTGCCCAACAGGTTTCAAAATTGGCATCAACTACCAACCACCAACCGTTGTTCCAGGCGGTGACTTGGCTAAAGTACAGCGTGCCGTCTGCATGTTAAGCAACACCACAGCCGTCGCCGAGGCCTGGGCTCGTCTCGATCACAAATTCGACTTGATGTACGCCAAGCGTGCCTTCGTCCATTGGTATGTCGGTGAAGGTATGGAGGAAGGTGAATTCTCAGAGGCACGTGAAGATTTGGCAGCCTTGGAGAAGGACTACGAAGAGGTCGGTGTCGATACAGTGGATGGGGAAGAAATATTAGAAGAACAGGACGAGTATTAATGAACTTATTAATTTCTCATCATTGTAATGAACCGGTGACACCACTAGTTCTATTAAATATATTTGTTTTAGAATGAACATTGTCATAAATGAATGAACCATGTACCACCACCAACGTGCTTCTTGTTATATGTGATGAATTGGGCTTTCACTTTTCAATGTATATTGACAATGCCCCGGGTAACTTACATTTTAACATTAACTTACATTTTAACGTTGTACAGATTTACATATCGAGACTGCATATGTTACGTATATATCTGATTTACAACGTATATGTAGAGTGGAGGCCACATTTTTATTACAGTCACGGTTACAAATAAATAAGTTTAAGATCAGTCGCAAATTATTATTCCGTTACACAAATAATTGTAAATATTATTTTATTATTGTAATAATAATAGTAGTAGTAATCTCTCATAATATTTTGTAATAATTATTAAACCACTGTTTTTTGTGACTATTAATTATTAAATATCTATTATGATTATCTGGATATTAGGTTGGTGTGTCAATAATGGAACACTGTATAGTATGAAAGCCAATTTGGGACATTTTTCGCATCTCCACTTACTATCTACAAAATGTCACCAGTGGGCTTTCATAGTATAGTGACAGTATAGTTGCTGGAGTATTTTACATGTTTATTATTTTAAAGAAACGTTCTAATTAAGCATGTCATGTTTTAATTTTCTCGCCATCGGGTTTCATGATCTGTATAAAGTACGATTACGTTTATCTAAACACAAATCGACTTGTAGCTCCAATTCTTCCCATACAAGTGCACTGGTTGACGAATGTGTTAAGCCATCAGAGAGGGAGTTAGTGCATTTTCTAAAAACTTTCAAGTTGTTTCTTTTAACCTTCGCAAACACGTGACGACAGGTTATTGTTTCTGTTAATAAAACATTATTATTATTGTTGTTGTTGTTGTTGTTATTTAACCCCCTCCCCCAAAGCGAAATGTCGTTCAGCATTGTACGTGTTTGATGGGTTAGTATTGTGATTGTTTGGTTCAATTTGAATACATTTTTGCAGGATTGTAGAGGTTGACCAGATGCACGCAAGTTGCATAAACATATACAGCAGTAGTCATCGAGCGATATCCTCGGGGGCGGAGCTACGTCACGGACGTTCTACGTTGCTAAGGCGCGCACCACTGTACCACGTATTTCTATGGGCTTTGTGCGCGCTGCTGTGGAACGCCGGTGGAGCAGGTGAAAACTCGAGAAAACAACACAAACTCAACTTTGAAGTAATCCTGAACAACCAAATTCATATATGTTACACACGTAGGGCTAATCTTGTTACACTGTTCAGGGGACTCTCATCAACCATCGCAAAGTACCGTTTCCTGCAAGTTTTTGGTCTTTGTTTTCACCACGAGGGTTGCCAGGCGGTAGAAAATGCCCTGATGTCCGCCCCCGAGGATACTGGTAATCTTTATGGAAGTTCGTCTCGTCTCGCAACGTTCATTTGGGTATGAGAAAACATGTCTCGGATAAATGTGCAGCCAAGTGAATAATATTTCACTGCAACAATCTTTTGACTCAAATACATAACTTGACCATGATCATCCTGATTTGGTATTGGTTAAAGTGGGTCAAGCCAAAAAGACTGTAGATAACATAATTATAGTTGAAAATACTTGGTTAAAATCTATGCAATCATTTTCTAGTGAGCCTGAAAGCCATTGTTTGTTATTAGCCATGAGCAACTAGATTTTCTGCTAAGGGAAGGCTTCAACATCCCTACCACATCCAAATTACTTGGTGTGTCTAAACGCACTGTATGGAGAAGAATGTCAGAGTTTGGACTTTCTGTGAGAGAGTACTATTCCACATTTAAGTGATGAAGAATTAGATAGTATTATTGAGGAAATTATTGTTAGGTTGCCAAATACAGGAATGAAACGAATGCAGGGACTCCTTCTTTCGCGTGGGATTCTTATTCCAATTTTTAAAATCAGATCAAGTCTGCGCCCTGTTGATCCAGAGGGTGTGGCTACAAGACAGTTGTATACAGTATGGAGAAGATCGTACCATGTTCTAACGTATTATGGACACATTGACGGTAATCACAAGTTTATTACCCGGGGTTTATTAGGTAAGTTAATAACATATGTTGTACTAACCGAACTCCTGTCATTGCCTAGTGAGGGCATATTGTTATATTTCTAGAACTCGTGCTTCCCCCCCCCCCATCTGTTGTATCACAGGTGGTTACACAAAGATGTGTTCTTTTATTCTCAGTATTTCACAGCAACACCTATACATTTGTTTGTTTATTTGTTCGCTCATTTTTGTATTTATTTATTTATTTATTTATCGACACCTCCTGAAACTAGACATGTATTATCAGTTTCAACAATCGCTAGTCGTTATTTAACAACTACTTGCCTCCAGCAAGCAAATTGTAATTCGTGATGTACACATTACACTTGCACCTTATAATTATAACTATTATTATAATATGTGAATGTAGAACGTATATCACGAATTATAATTTGCATACAGTCACGAGGATTACAATAAGAAGATAGTTGTAATTAAAGATTAGTAATTATTGAAACTGATAATATACGTCTAAGTTATGGAATTGAGTCCCAAACGACGATAACAACACACGCTAAAAGGCTCATGGGTACACGCTTGTTTGTAAACAATGACATGCTATGCGCAGGTGACGACTCCCCCGCTTTAAAACAGTCATTTTTAGTAAGGCCTGGATAAATCAAGGAGTTGGTCGCGAATTACCATTCCTTAAATTATTTAAACAAAGATAGTGCGACATGGATTTCCAATGTTGGCAAGAACTTGAATTGCTCGAAACTTAACAAATATAAAAGATTTTTCAGCGGGAAAATATTATTACATTGAATTACCCTGATCAGACTGAGTGTCCGCACATCATTTAAATATAGTTGAACGCTGGTGACCTTGCCCTTTGTTATATAATATTCTCTTTATCATACCTTAGTGTGTTTCAATATGAATTGTCATAATTAATTTTGAATACAAACAAATTTTAGGTTTGAAACAATGGGAAAGCAGTCTATCGAATGTCCTTGATAGACACCATCTTACAAAAACATTGGTGCCTAATTTGTTCAATTAATTTAAGGGACAAATAATTTCCAAATGCCTCATCTCAGAAAAAAGTGCTGCATTTAGACGTGAAAAAAACATGCAAGATAACAGAAAATATTAGCTGGTTCTCGTCCAAGTATTTTGTAAAGGTGTCTGTCAAAAATTAATGGTTCACCGAGACAAATATGAACTGCCTAATTATATTCATTGTGTGACTACTGTATTATTTGAAAAGTAAAAAAAAACGCCCTCTACGAATAGCTATCATGCTGCAAGCTATGCTTTGTATGCAAGTCAACTTAAATAGTTTGTTGGTGTCAAGAATAGTCAACAGTACTGTTGCCTCCTGAAAATCTACATCTTCAAACACTAATCTTCGTTTTTGAAGTGCGTTTTTAAATTAGTATCATAACAGTTCCATCATACTGTTCTAGTAGCTGAAACAAATTGCTGTGAACTTTTCTTTAAGGATGTAGTAGACTTTCGCTGGGCAAAACAGAAAAAGCTTTATAAAAATAATAATGATTAATACCTTGCAACACTCTATCCAACAATTATGGTAACACTAATGTCAACGTTAATTACGTCACGTGACTGCTAAATAAACCAAATCGATTGTTCAGCTATTTTTACTGCTACTAGAAAACGAAAACAGTTAGCCAACACATTTTTATGAGAAAGGGAAGACTACAATGTTCTCAACAACAATGTAAAAGAGATACTTTCTGAATTGTTGGTGGAGTGTGGTGGAGAAGAATTCTGTAATAAATTAGAGTGCTCTATTTTCACAGGTCAATTAGTATTGAAATATTACTGATACTTGAAAAAAGATTTTACATTTTGTTTTCAGTTAATCTTGAGTTCAATCTCTGAAAAAAACAATGAAATCGGACAAACTGTTTGCGTAATCGTGATTTTTGTTGTTTTAGACACTTACGTTTCAAATGGCTGAAAAGACTTAAAAACCAAAAGTAGCACAGTCGAGAGGATATTTTCTGTTCAGCGCATCGTATTCAGTTATTTTTTGATGTTTAAGATAGCTATTGTGTTGGTTTTATAAAAATCAAAACAATCCGTTTGGTACAAGGCCGATAAAGTTATGAAAAAATCGATAATTTGAAAAAAGCAACGTGAAAACGAAGTATGGCCGCCCTTGAATAAACAGTGTAATCCCGTTATCAATTTAAGTTTATTTGCTTGACAAGCTTAGTTTCGAGTGTTATACCATAGATCTTAGAAGGTCTATGGTCATACCACATCACAAGAAACACTTTATGTACAAAACGTGATATGTGACCGTTAAACTTGAACACTGTAGTGTCTACGCCACCTTTCACGCAAATTTCGCGTGAGCCACGGCACCTGAACCAAGCGAAAATGTCATCAGAGCAGAACTACATAATGAGATGAGAGTACTCTGTAAAGCTACGCCTTTTTTTTAATTTTTACTAAAACTTTTGTTAAATATCGTAATTTACAAAAAAAGGCCTACTATTTGCTAACTGAATCCGTTTGGAAGCAAGTCAGTCAAGTACTGTCGTGAATTACAGGTCGTCGTTTTTGCTCTATAACTCTTACAATCTGAGTTTAGTTTAGTTGACTTGCATTACGATTGTTATACAATTATTACCAGCACAAAACAGTTTTCATTTCCAAGAGCTAAGAATGTACGTGTAACTGCTTTGTCTACGAACCACTGATGCGTCACTAAAATTTGAAAGTCAGTCTGCCGTCCCACATGACACAATGAATCTGATTATTCTATTTTTGACTACCTCGTATTCTTAGCCAATCCGCGTGCATGTGTTATGTTTGAAAGGCCGCATGTGCACCGGAGACTAAAGTGAGATTCCCAGCCATAACGAGATTCTTCATGGATGAATATTTTTCCCTTTTTACACAGAGAACATTTACAGTGGTCAGCCAGATTCGAAATCAATATATCCAGGTCGACGAGCCTCGTTATTAGCTTCACCACAAGCGTTGTCAGATACTGCAGACTTTGCTGGCGATATTTTCCGTTTCGACATGCTCATCCTGTACGTTGATGTCGTGTCGTCAGCCTCCAGTGACAGTATAGTGGTATCCTCATCGAGGTGGTTACGGTGGTTTCTTCAGTCTTAGTTGAATGTAAAATGTAGGAAAAAGGGTATATTCGCTGGATTTTTTCCCCCTGAACCATTCCTGCAGCTCCAAGCGAAAATAAAGTATTTTACAGTACTTAATAAAACTATTGTTGTACATTTGGACTGATGGTCTATGGTACGGAATAAATTTAAAATTATTTAAGAGAACAACGAAATGTAGTCGAGACATAGTTTTGTGAAGTTTTTATTGACAACAAATTATAAACGAAACTTTGAAACAACCTAAATGTTTCAGAGTGTGACGAAGTAACGATATGTTGTTTTCCTAAAGATGTAAAAGACATTTAAACAATGCATTACTAAAATAAAATATACACTGCTATTATTACTCCACTAGTTACATAATATTCACTGTACATCATACTATGAAAAAAATACATACAGATTAAAAAGCTTCGAACAATTATTTAAAATATCTTGTTTAAAATTTGATTTTAAAAAAGTACACGTTTGTCTGTTCAATATCAAATGATTCCAGATGCGACTTTGAGTTAGATAAATACACTTAATTTTACATCTGTGGGTTTCAGTTTAATTTATCCCAGAGTACTTCTACCACAAGTTCAATTTAAATCGGATTTTTTCAGAAATTATGTTTTCATTATTAAACTAATCGCATCTGTGGATTACCCTAAAGCAAATATGAACCAAATTTCAATGAAATGTGATGAATATTCACCTTGTGAAAATTTAGCAATTAGTATGTTCGAATGCCAAGTCTTAATGTTGCATTGTTTTTAACTATTTATGTACCAAGATTCATTAAATTAAGTACTTGAGTTATCAGTGGAAAAACCATAATTATGCAAATCAGGTAATTAATATGCACGATTTTCATTTAAAACTAATTAGGTCTGTGCATAATCCTAGAGCAACTATGTAATGAAATGTGATGATTAGGACGACATAGTATCAGCAGAAAAACCAAAAATTAACTTATTATGCAAAGATAAGTACCCAAAATTTTACAAGGTCTGTGTATTGTCCTATGACATCTATGTAGCAAGTTTCATTGTAATGTGATGATTAGTACTTGAGATATCAGTAGGAAAAGAAGAAAATTTACTAATACTTATGCAAATTAGGTAATTAATATGCATGGGGTTTTCACCCAAAACTAATCAAGTCTATGTACTAAGTGTATCATCAAATTCAAATGAATGTTGTTTTAGATATCACCGGAACAGATAACAGAATATCTAATCATGCAAATTAAAAAATAAATATGCATGGATTTAAATCAAAACCAAATAAAATCTGTGTATTAACCCAGAGCATCTATGCATCATTTTTCATCAAAATATCAGTAGAACAGACAGGCAGGTGCACATACATGAAAACATTCATACATACACTCTAACTGTAAAGACTCCCACTGTGTGCTCGCACATGGAGTCACCTAGAATATAACTAGATGGTTCATCTAAAAATAGGACTGATGTGACAACGACAAAGGGGAAACCTACCAGCTGTAAATACCACAAGCCAGAGTTACACTAAAACAGCAGGGTTATGAGCTGCAATTAACAATGACAATAATACAAAATTCATTTAAATAAAAAATCTATATTCAGTGTTTTTTCATTCATATCACATGCAAATAAGGCAAATGTACTCTTCAAAATGTCTTCTTATTGCACTCCCGACCAATTCCCATATGGAGTGGGGATTCCAGTTTCTAGTTTCACTTGGATCACTGTATGTCAGTTGCACTCAAGGTTAAATTCAGGCCCAATGATTAACTAGCAGCCTGTCGGCTGAAATGGCTCCACTGTTATCAATGCACGTTTCAATTAAAGAACTGAAGATATCATCAGAAAATGAACAATATGTACAGTATTAAAGCAATTGGACTTGCTGTTTTCCCAAAAAAATTCGAAAATATAACTTTCTATCAAAAATATTCATTAAAATTAGATAATCGAAGAACAAAATCATCACAGAATGAACAAATCTGAGAGAGGTCTACCTGTAGTACCTATGTAGTATATATAATATCAAAGCAAATCGACTTGCGGTTTTTAACAAGATGTCGAAATTATCACTTTTTACCAAAAATATTCATGAAAATTAGAGAATTTAAGATATCGAAAAGAACAAATCTGAGTGAGGTCCACATGTAGTACCTATATATGTAATATCAAAGCAATTGGACTTGCGATTTTTAACAAAAAGTCGAAAATATCACTTTTTACCAAAAATGACAAAAATATTCATCAAATTAGAGAAATGAAGATATAACAAAATGAACAAATCTGAGAGAGGTCTACCCAAGGTACCTACATACCAAGTATCAAAGCATTTGGGCTTGCGGTTTTCAAGAAAAAGTCGAAAATAGCATTTTGGACCAAAAATAACAAAAATATTCACTATAAATAAAACAATTGAACATATCCACACGAAATGAACAAATCTGAGAGAGAACCACCCAAAGTACCTTCCTAGAAAGTTTCACAGCTATACAGTTTGTAGTTCTTAAGAAGAAGTCGAGAATGTAAAGTTGATGACGACAACGATGCCGAAGGACGCCGACAGACAATCAGTAATACTATAAAGCTCAGCTCGACTTTGTCTAAAATGTCCCAAAACAAACCACACATGTAGGGGCAGTGTTATGTAATAAGTTTTAGTTCAAACAAGTCATGTATGGCACAGTCCCCATTAGTTATCAAATTTAAGATATATAGTTTTGTTATAGTGATATAGTTGGAACATAAACATGTCAGAAATATGGATCCAGAAGCTGATGCTTGATTATGATTTTTTAACATTAAAATGATTGTAATTCTTTCATCTGATCGTCAAACAAGTACTTGGTGCATTGAATAAAACAAAATGGCTATCAGTTGGCCATTCTGAATCTGATCCGAAAAACAAAATGAAGTGCATCAGGGACCCATAATGTCTAATGTATGTACCAAGTTTGAACAAATCCATCAATAAAAGACCAAAATCTGGTTCTGGAATGCAAGAAATGTTTGATTTTGATGATTTTTCAGCACAAAAAATAGCCATCATTCGGCCATCTTGAAACAGATTGTGAAACATAATGTACATATGTATAATAATATTGTGTATGATCAGAGGTACATTACTACATTGGGGTTTGCAACTACGGTGACATGATACCAAGATCCCATTTCAATGTTGCTCTCGCATAAGCGTTCCTCAGAAAAATGCGAATGCGCATGCTCGAGGTAACTAGGATACTGAGATGTCCAGGTGGATGAAAATAGTTGCTCACGATATGACGGATTACGATAACTATATTTTCTGTTCATTTTCGATGTATTACATTTTTTCACTATGAATGTGGTAATACATGTTTTATTGATTATTACAAACTGCTTATTTCATGTCAGAAGGTCGTAGCATCAGTCTCGCTATCTACGCGATGAGATTTGAATGGGATCTTGACATGATGCCACCATACAGTACTATACGCGTTGCAAACCCCAAGTAATGTACCTCTGGTATGATACATGTGTGAAGTATGAATGTTATTCGTCCAGGCATATCTAAGATACAGGTTTGAACGCACAGATTCATGCACAGAGGTCAATCCATAAGTCCCCGTTTTCGGACTGGTGTCGCAGTTCAGCTGTGTAATGGTTTCCCACATTGCAGTTGCATTTCATAATTCCTTAGTTATGCTTGTTTTGTCATATGTATACACCATATAAGAGTTCATACTATCCAGATCAATTGTTCTCTCTTGGTAAAGGTCAGCATTTACCAATATGTAACCTAAGCACACCATTCACATGCAGCTCTTTGAGCTTTAGAAACTCAGATGGCATTGAATGTTTCACTACTACTATCCATGTCTTGGGTGTGTCCTCTGCGTAGTGGTATGGTACATAGTTACCATTTACATCAGTGGTAAACGGCCAGAATCCAAAAAGGTGGATTTCCTCACAGTATGTGAGTGCTAGATTGAACATCAGCATTCCTGAGGAGCAAAAAATGTCATTAAAACAATATTGACAGCTGGTGTTTGGTTGAATATTATTATCCATGCTGTCTACTTTGACCTAGCATTTGATTGGCTAAAAGGGTGGACCATTAAAAACCTTAGGAATAATTTAAAAAAAAAAATTTGATTGTATACATTTCCAATATTGGTTTTGACTGGCATCCAGGACTAGCGAAACAAGTTTGTCTGAGTTTGTCTGGCATTTACAATAATGATATTGGGCAATTTTAACAAGCAGTCTCTCGGCTGAGATAGCTCTGTTGTCAGCAATGCACATTTCGATTAAAGAATTGTAAATATCATTAGAAAATTAACAAATCTGAGAGAGGTTCGCCTGAGATACATATATGTATAACATCAAAGCAATCAGATGCAGTTATAACAAGAAGTGGGAAAATATCATTTTTTACCAAAAATTACAAAAATATTCATCAAAATTAGAGAATTGAAAATATCATCATGAAATGAGCAAATTGAGGTACCTATATGTATAACATCAAAGCATGATTGCTTGTAGTTTTTTAAAAAGTCGAAAAAGTAAAAAGTTGATTTGGACAATGATGGACGATCACTCGTATGATAAGCTCCTCATGACAAAGTCGACAGCAGAGCTAAATAATTGAATTTCATGTATACAATGTATGTGGAATGTACATTTTTGTTCCCACATTATTGGAAGTTTTGATCGTTTCTACTCGTGACCTATATAAAATTCAAGGATCTGTATGCACAAAACTTACCTGTTGTTACCGATACAAATCGCTTACTTTCCCAAAAGTGTTCAATTGCAGACAAGTAATTTTTTTCAAATTCCATATCAATCAACTTAGTATTCTTATGCACATATGATACAAACTCATCTTCTGCTGGTCCAGAAAACATTAGGTAACCATTATATACATGCAGATCCTTCTTAAATGCATCCAAATTGTTGTGGTACCTATACGAAAATATCACCGATACATGGATGAACAATTAATGATTTCATTAAGGTCATCAATCTTTGAATGCATTACCTAACTCAATTTTATTTGAATGCAGTTGTTAATTACAAAAAAAACTTGGTACCCACCACTATGCTACCATATTTTAGCCATGAATTAATTGTTGTTTTTCGGCAATCTACGCCTTCATAAGTCAGTATACGAAGAAATGCTAACACAAACTTTGTTTTCAGAGCAAAACAATAACGCAGAGTATGCCCTGTACTTTAGTAATATTGAATATAAAATCACTTTATTTTCGCTTGGAATTAATTTTGGCTACTTTTGCTTAAGAGTAATTCAGTGAAAATAAAATCCAGTGAATATACCTTGTTTTCTATATTTTACATGCAACTCGTCAGAAGTCAGTGAAAATAAATTCCATATAAAACATCCAAAAAGTCTTTTCAGCGAAAATTATTTCCAGCTAACAATGAAAAGAATAGTCAGATTATGTTTAAATATTGGGATAGTAGTTAGTATACAAGTTGACACCTGGCCACAAACTATACTGATTTTTTAACTAGAAACAAACTGATATATGATAGTGTAAGTTGAAATATACGCATATACATTTGTACATATACGAGGGTCAATACAATCGGATACTCTCAGCATAACAGCAGCAATGATGGGTGTCGCCAAATTGAAAAAACAATTCTGCCGAGTACACGTACCGAGTAACGTGACATACTGTTATTTAATGTGATTAGAATGGGTCATATGAGAACATAAAATCGGGTTGGTTATTTAAAAGCTACAATTAATTCCATCTTTTAAGTTTCAATTGTTCCTATTTCTCACTGAATAACATTTTTTATTAGCGACACCTAGCAGCTATCTTGTTTCATACACAACACCATGGCAAAATCAAATGCAAAATGAACGACTGAAATGAACACTTTCCTGGCACTTATGCACAAAGTAAAAAAATACTGCTCAACAATTAAAGTATCAAATCACAAATAAACACTGATTGTTTTGGGTGTGGTGACACGATTTACCAGGGTTGAAACTTTCTGGTATTATTGCCATAATGCATAAAGTAATAATGAATGAACATGGCAGCTACAGTTTGAAATCAAAATCTTGTTTTTTTTCGTTATTTATAATTGTATGGATTTCAAACTACACGTGTCTTTTCGCGGAACCGATATAATCACATAGAGACTTGTAACTTGAAATAAAATTTACCGACTTTACTTAAAAACATCCAATATTTTTATAGGCATAACACAGAACAGAAGTGCTTAAAACAAGCTCGAAGAAAATGCTATGACGTCACCATTGTCTCCCCACAAGCGCAACACACACTGTACACATAACTCGGGTGATTCACACCTTAGAACAATAGCGTTTCCTAACTGGGTGTTGAGGGACTGTGATAGAACACAATGCTTGATCAACAAGCCATGCATGGCACAGTCTCTGTTAGTTATCAAATTTAAGATCTATAGTAATATAGCGTGAAACAAGTACTTGTCCATATTGAGAGATATTGCTCTGGAACAGCATTCAAAATCAGCCATTTTGAATACATGTATATATATATAACATGATGTACAACAAATATATAAAATTTGAATATAATCAGTCAAAGCATTTAAGAGATATGGCTCTAGAAGCCCAATCATTAAAACAAAATGCCTGCCAGTCGGCCATTTTGAATCCAATCTGAAAAATAAAATGTAATGTCTAATGTATGTACCAAGTTTGAACGAGATCCTTCCATACATGCCAGAAATGCTTGATATTTGATGATATTTTAGCACAAAAATGGCCACCATTTGGCCATTTTGAATAGGATCGTCAAACCAATATATCTGACTATGTATGACATGATGTATAATGAATATTTTCAATCTTATCTGAAAAACAAAATTATTCGCATCAAGGTCCCATAATGTCTAATGTATATACCAAGTTTGAACAAAATTCATCTGTAAACAGCTGAGAAATGCTTGATTTTTATGAATTTTAGCACAAAAATGACCGCCATTTGGCCATCTTGAATCAGATCGTGAAACAAATTGATGTGCATACGTATAATATCATGTATGATATATGTGTGAAGTTTGATTGTGATTGGTCCAGGCATTTATAAGATACAGGTCCGAACACACGTACACACACAGACACACTGAGGTCAAAACATAAGTCTCCGTTTCCGGACTGTGTCAGAACGGGGAATAAAAATCAACATACACTCTGTTGTGCCACCAGGCGTGCCTAAAAAACAGTTGATGACATGTTCAAATTTTGCAGTTTTATTTGTTTTTCATAAAAATGGCCGCCATTTCACTAAATTTCATTGAAATCAAAAAATAATTAAAAGCAACATTTAACCCATTACATCTTGCTTGCCTTTGTACCAAATTTAAACCCAATCTGTAAAATCATCTCTGTGAATTGAGAAGAACACTCATAAAAAAACAAAATGGCCACCAGTTGGCTATTTTGAATTGAATCACAAAAAAAATGATGTGCATCAGTAACCCACTATGACTGATGTCAATGTCAAGTTTGAATGAAATTGGTCAAGGCATGTTTAAGAAACGGTTGATGACATGTTTGAATTTTGCGATTTTATTTGTTTTTGACGAAAATAGCCGCCATTCGGACTTAATTTCAAGAAAACGAAAAAATGACTGAAAACAACATTTAACCCATTATATCTTGCCTTTGTATAAATTTTAATCCAAATCTGTACAATAATCTCTGTAAAATGAGAACAAAATGGCCACCAGTCCGCCATTTTGATTCGAATCACGGAAAAAAATGATGTGCATCAGTAACACACCATGACTGATGTCACTTCCAAGTTTGACTGAAATCTGTCAAAGCATGTCTGAGAAATGATGGATGACATGTCCAAATTCTTTGGGACAAAAATGGCCGCCAGTCGATCAAAGTTTAACCGAATCAAAATTACTGATGCACGAACAGACAGAACCAAAACATAAGTCCCTGTTTTGGACTACGTCTGATGGGGACTAATTACAGACGTACCACCTACAACGTCACTACCAAAACGACAGCTTGAAATACACGTCGTAACACTGATATATCAGTCAGAAATACGTCAAATCTCGGACTACACAAACAAATTGTAGATATATCCACACACATATAAAGCCATGTGATACCTTCTATGGATCATGCTTGGATTAAAAGTGGTAAAGTTACTCTTCTTTCCAACATCGTCTGAGAAGTTACTTATGTAAGGAAGATTAGCCCTAGAAAAAAACATTAGGAATCCATTTGTCGTATCAACATATATAATAGTGGTTCTAGTATGACCGCAACTTTGAAATAAGGTCACACTCTGTTTATTTTGTCATTAAAATGTGCAGTTAAAACAAGCTATTTAAAGCGGGGGAGTCATCACCTACGCATGCGTCAGATGGACATAGCGTGTCATTGTTTAAAAACAAGCGTCTACCCATGAGCCTTTGCATTTTTAGAGTGTGTTGTTATCGTGGCCTGAGACTATTCCTGTGTGTGCGCAGGTGACAACCCTCTCGCTTTAATAGTTTTTGCTATGCCCCGAACTGCAGATTAAGTTTATATTTGTACTGAACATTCACCAGACACATTATTTAATGATATCACTCAAGCAATACTGCTTGATGTATAACAATGTTGTTAACAATTATTATGCAAATTAGCCACCATCCTTGACCAAAATCCTGGATAGAACACTGTTTTCACACTAATTGATTGTGCCTATTACACATTTACAGTCTTGAGTTACCTGAAGATATAGTCTGCTTTGTCAATTTCTTCTCCACATCCACTGTTTTTTAGGATACCTCCATTTCCTACAACACTACATCGTCTATATTTCGAGGTATCTTCATCAAATTTGTTCTGAGAAAAAAATAATAAATTGCGGATGTTAATTGTTGCATAAGTAAATATATTGTTTCATTGGTGTCAACATGTGTCGCATACGACTTGTTTACCACTTCCGTGTGACTGAGAATGTTCTAGAACCGTACTGTGTCTGGGTGGAATTTTTAGAAACTGGTTGAATAGGTAATGGAACATTCTAGAAATTTGTATTAAGTTCCAGACTCATTATGTATGCTGATGTAATGGTCTATTTATAGACAGTGTGGGTATATATAGGGGAGTTGTTCAGCACTGAGATCAGATCGGAGATCTCGTTGAATTGTATTGGAGTTTAAGTATCTAGTTAGGAGTAGTGGAGTTTTACCGCGTTATTGTACTTGATGTTCGCAGAGTATAATACCAGTACCAGTTGAAACCTCATCTGTTGGCTCCGTGTTCGTATTTTATCATCGCCGCCAGGGAAGTCTTTTTGTTACTGTTGCCATTTTGGTATTTGAACCATCACACCTGTACTATACCAATTACGGTAATATTACGTTGCGTGTGACAACATGTTATAATTACAAATACTGCTAAATCATTCTTGTTTGACATTCAACATGGTGACAACTGAATGGTTCCGGCTTCTTCAGTGGTAATAATTTAACAAGCAGCCTTTCGGCTGAGATAGCTCCGCTGTTAGCAAGGCACATTTCAATTGAAAAACTGAAGATACCGTATCATTAGAAAATGAACAATATGTATAGTATGTATAGCAATCCGACTTTCTGTTTTTAACAAGAAGTCAAAAATATCACTTTTTACCAAAAATGACAAAAATATTCACCAAAGATAGAGAATTTTAGATATCATCACGAAATGAACAAACCTGAGAAAGGTCCACATGTAGTATCTATATATGTAATGTCAAAGCAATTGGACTTGCGGTTTTTAACAAGAAGTCAAAAATATCACTTTTTACCAAAAATTATAAAAATATTCACCAAAATTAGGGAATTGAAGATATCATCATGAAATGAACAAATCTAAGGAAGGTCTACCCCAGGTACATACACGCCAAGTATCAAATCATTCAGGCTTGTAGTTTTCAAGAAGTCGAAAAAGTAAAACATTGACACGGACGACGACGGACAATCACTCATATGATAAGCTCCGCTCAACAAAGTCGACAGCGGAGCTAATTATATAATTCCACAATAACGTTTCTTAGACCCGATAATATAGTTTTCAAGAAAAGTTTAAAATAGAATTGTTGATGGACGAACAATCACCTACAATAACAGCTCCAGTCTGTTATCTTCGATGACAGTGGGGCTTAAAATGTTGGAAAAAAATACAGAATTGTATCAAAGCAATTGAGCTGGTAGTTTTTAAGAAGTCAAAAATATAATTGTTAATTGATGGCTTATGGACAAACTTTGACAGCAGACCTAAACATAGTTGAACTCTGGTGACCTTGCCCTTTGTTATATAATATAATTCCCTTTATCACAGTTTGTTTCAATATAAATATGCATTGTCATAATTAATTTTGAATACAAACAAGTTTTGGGGTTGAACCAACAGTGGGGAATCAGTCTACCAAATGTCCTTAAAAGATGTAAATATCTTACAAAAACATTGGTGCCTTATTTGGTTTAATTATTTTAAGGGACATAATTTCCAGCTTTATTCAAAGTAATTCAGATATTTTAGTATAAAAATAAATGCCTCATCGCAAAAAAAAAAGTTCTGCATTTAGACGTGAATAGATTCATAAAACATGCAAGATAACAAAAAATCTTAGCTGGCTTTTGTCCAAGTATTTTGTACAGGTGTCTGTCAAAAATTAATGATTCACCAGTCAAATATGAACTGCCTCATTGTGTGACTACTGTATTATATGAAAAGTAAAAAAAAACACCCTTTATGAATAGCTATCATGTTGCAAGCTCTGCTTTGTATGCAAATCAACTTAAATAGTTAGTTGGTGTCCAGTGAAGGAGAAGTCAACAGTACTGTTGCCTCCTGAGATCTACATCTTCAAACGCTGCATCTTCGAAGTGCGTTTTAAACTAGTATTATGAAA